ATATAAATTCCTATATAAGTACTCACAGTAGATTTCATTTGTCATCATGTAGTGCTTTATAGATCAAAAAAGCGATCTCAAGTTTCTTGTCGAGAATACTATTCGTACAAACTACAAATTAGGCCATCCAATAAGTCTGTATTACTTCACACTGGCAGACTGTTTCAACAATATGTTGTAGATATGTATGTTAAGATTGAAACTACAAGGTTAGATTATTTTCGTAATGACCAAAAACAGATCCGTGCTGAACTTTATTAAGGTATTGTAGATAGTGTTCAAAATGGAGAAACAAGAGGATACAAAATTGGAAGAAAGTTCATTTTACCACAGTCATTTACATGTGGGCCTAGAGATATGCTAAAGAGATATATGGATGCAATGGCTATTGTGCAACGGTATGGAAAACCAGACATATTTTTGACTATAACATGTAATCCAAATTGACCAGAAATTAAGCAAGAATTTAAGCACAATGATGATGTTCAAAATCGTCCTGATCTAATTGTACGTATATTTAGAGCAAAATTAGAGGAGCTAAAAAATGATTTGTACAATGAAAAATTTTTCGACCCTATTGTTGCCCATATATATATCATCGAATTTCAAAAAAGAGGACTCTCTCATGCACATCTATTGTTAATTTTAAATTCTAGTTACAAAATTTCTTCCACTCGAGAAGTTGATAGAATAGTATTGTGTGAAATACCTGACAAGAATATACATTCTCATCTTCATTCTGTTATTGTTAAACACAATATGCATGGCCCTTGTGGAGACTTTAATCCAAAAAATGTATGTATTGAGGGAAATAGAAGTTGTAAAAATAAATATCCTAAGGATTATTATAATACTACTATATTCAATGATAACTCATATCCATTATATAGACGTCGTAATAATGGTATTTCCATTAAAGTTAGGGGCCTAATGTTAGACAATCGATGGGTTGTTCCATATAATTCTTATCTAAGTGCAAAATTTGTTTGTCATATTAACGTTGAAGTATGTTCTTCTATCAAAGCTGTGAAATATTTGTACAAATATGTGTACAAAGGACATGATCGTATTAATTTCTCTTTAAGTACAGATGAAAGAAATAAAGAAATTGATGAAATTTCTGCTTACCAATCTGCTAGATGGATATCTCTACCTGAAGCTATGTGGATAATTTTTTCTTTCAATTTGGCAGAAATGCATCCAACTATCTACTCTCTACAGCTCCATACTGAAAATCAACAACAAGTAACATATGATGAATATGATGATTTATCTGTTGTTATTGAGAAAGAAAATGCAAAAAGAATAATGTTGACTGAATTCTTCTGAATAAATGAAGTAAATGAATTTGCTAGGATGCTTTTATATCGAAATTCTCCAACGCATTTTGTTTGGAATACAAATTTGAAGATTTGGACTCCTAGAAAGAAACAAATTGTTATAGGATGAGTTGTTACAGTTAATCCATCTGAAGGAGAACGTTATTTCCTACGTGTGCTTCTTAATCATATTTGAGGGCCAAAATCGTTTAATGATTTACGAACTTCAAATGGGGTAACTGCTAGAACATATCGAGAAGCAGCACTTCTACATTGTTTGTTAAGTGGAGATCACCATTGTGAAGAATGTCTATCCGAAGCTATTGCCTATGAAATGCCTATCTCTTTAAGACGTCTTTTTGCTACATTTCTCACGCTTTGCAACCCTAATGATTCGAAGTTCCTATGGGATAAATTCAAAGTTTACATGATTGATGATTACGTGCATGAAAATATTCAGGTAGAGGTTGCTGAAGTAAAAGCTCTACAGGATATTAATTTTATTTTAGAATCGTTAGGTAAAAACATAAATGAGTATGGATTAGTATCGTTTGATGTAAATATAGATGAGGATGAAAGGTTGAGAAGAATGGTTGCAGAGGAGACAATTAATTTTGATGTTCAAGGGGGATATGCTTATGCATCAACCTTAAATAATGAACAGCAGTTTGCATATGATATAATTATGGAGAAAGTAAAATTGGAATTAGGAGGCACTTTCTTCATTGATGGTCCAGGTGGAACAGGCAAGACTTTTTTATACAAAGCACTTTTAGCTAGTGTAAGATCACAAAATTTAATTGCCTTGGCAACTGCATCCTCTGGAGTATCTCCATCTTTATTGCCAGGAGGTCGAACGGCTCATTCAAGATTTAAAATTCCTTTGGAAACAATTGGTGAAATTATTTGTCCTATTAGCAAGCAATCAGCATTGGCAACTTTGTTCAAAATGTGTAGATTAATAATTTGGGATGAGGCACCTAAGGTAAATCGTTGTGCTGTTGAAGTTGTAGATAAAATGCTTAGAGATATTACCAATTGTAATTTTCCTTTCGGGGGAAAAGTTATAGTTCTCAAAGGAGATTTTCGCCAAATTTTACCAGTGGTACCTAAAGGAAAAGAAGAAGACATTATAAAGGCTAGCTTAGTTTTCTCTAAATTATGGCCTTTGTTTTTTCATTTACCATTAATCCAAAATATGAGAGCAAAATTAGATCCTGTATTTTGTGATTATTTGCTTAGAATTGGAAATGGAATAGAGCAAGAACATGATTGTAAATGTATTAAGCTTCCAAATAGTATAATTTTACCATTTGAGGATGAGATTTCGTCTTTAAAAAACTTAATACATCATGTTTTTTCAAATATAGAAGAATATGTTGATAATTTACATATGATGGTTAATCGAGTTATTCTTACTCCCAGAAATGACTGTGTTGATCATATTAATAGAATTTTGTTGGAGCAGATTCCTGGACAAATTTTCACATATTATAGTTTCGATGAAGCAATTGATCAGTCAGAACAGAGCCTACAAGAAGACTTGTTAAATAGTTTAACTTTAAATGGTATACCACCACATGAATTAAACCTTAAGGTAAACTGTCCCATGATGTTGTTGAGAAATATTAATCCTTCTGAAGGATTATGTAATGGGACTTGTCTTACTTGTCGAAAATTTGAGAAGAATATAATTCTAGTTGAAATTTCAACTGGTGAGTATTTTGGAAAATATTTTTCTTACAAAGGATTCCTTTCATACCTCTTAAAAGTAATTATAAGTCAATTCCATTTAAGAGAACTCAATTTCCAATTAGGCCATGCTTCGCAATGACTATCAACAAAGCACAAGGTCAAACATTAGATTTCGTTGGCTTATATCTTCCAGAACCCATTTTTTGTCATAGCCAACTTTATGTAGCATTATCACGAGCAAAAATCAGTATGTCTATAAAAGTTCTACTTAAGCCGTCAGACTCAAATAATTTACACAATACATGTACTAAAAATGTTGTATACAAAGAAGTTCTTTCACTTGTACGTTTGTAAACTTTAAACATTTCTATGAGCATTCATTCATATTTTACAAGTTTCTTAAACTTCGAATTCATAAATATAATGAAGAAGACTATATGAATAAAAATAAGCTACAAAAATTGGGGAAACTTACTTTACATATGAGAATTCTTTTCACAAATGTTTCTTATTATTATTATTTTTTGTGTTATTGCATTTGTTACTTCAACCTATTCTTTTATTCTATGAGTCATAGTCTAATTTATTAGTAAAATAATTCATTGCTGAGTTCAAGTCCTTGTATTTCTCGGTATTTCTAACAAGTATAGTAATTTGGATTATTTTTCTCTTCAGTATCTTCTTATTTAATGTTCTTCGGCTATTCTTTTAGAAATTCTCTCCTAATGATATTTGTGCTTCAATTATATATGGAAAAGGTTGTGTACATAATACCCTTTTATTTACTTTTATCAACTCAACTATCTACTTATTGTGATTATGAAGCGGCACTTTCAGCCATTGAAAGTAAGTATGCTGGCTAAGTCTTTCTGCATGCCTCTTGTTTCTATCCATGTTGGGAAGATCGGCAAGCAATGGAGCTTCTTATGTCCAACATCCATGAGGTAGCTCTCTTTATTTTATTACTCTACAGTTGTATGTAAGAAATCTTTGAGTCTTTTTTGCTCACTGAATATAAGATGCTCCACTGCACCTCCACCTAAAATAAAAAAAGAATACAAGATGCCTATTTTACTGGCTTTATGTGCAGGATAAATTTGATTTGTTCTGCTCACATGATGATACGTACATTTTTTGTTATCTCCTTTGTTATTTTATGAGATCTATAAAATCGTTTTATGTTGTGTCAAATTATTTACCTTCAAATAATATCCACCCCCTCCTATTAAGAAAGAAAAAGAGAGAAATAAGGACGTGCAATATGTTGATACTTTCTCATCTTTGAACATTAAGTTTTGTTTGCTAGCCTGACAAGATAAAGAATAGTTAGCCAATGTGGGACGAAACTTCTCTGATGCTTTTTCTGATTGATTATTTATAACATGATGCATTTTTGTCCAAACAATTTCTTCCAACCTTTTGGAATAATACAATTCTAATTTCAATTGTCAGGTATTTGGGGAAATTGCAGAAGATCTAAATACGCTTATTAGAATAAATGAACCCTATGTGGGTGCAAACGGCAGGCCTCACAAAAATATTAGGTCACCTTTTATATTTATTGCATTTTACCTTCAATGTTGTGCAGTAATTAGTGTATATTCTTTTAACAATTTTCTTTCTTCTTACCATCAAATCCAATGTTTCACATAGAATCAAGAACACGTAAATATTGGATAATCCTTTTGAAGATCCTTCCAACTAGCTAAGTTGATTCCTGATGCTTCACTTGAAGGAAAACCAAAAGATGAGGTAATAAATCACTATAAAANTTGAGGGATGGACTACAACTTTGCTTCCCTCTAGACAGGTAATGTATAAAAATACTATACATTAATATTTGGATGATGATCAGCTGGTGAATATTGAACTATTAGCCATGCCATATGATGATATATATGTTCTACACATGTAACTTTATTTCATGGAATATTGTTTTGGTGGAATTGCCGCATATAACATTGAGCACAATTTTGCAAAGAAGTAGCCCGCTTCTTTCTCGAGAAGAGAAGGAGATAGTTAAGTTATTTTCAAGTGTTTTTGTGGCATATGATTATCAAAATAGAACATTATTTTTTTGATGCATGGTAGTCTTTTTTTATGTGCCTTGTATGGTTATATTTCATCATATATTCTTACCTATGGATACACAAATTTGAAATATTAGTACCCGCTCTTCAATCGGAGTGGTTAAATCCTTTATTTTTAGATGATTGTAACTTTATGTTCTTGGTATCTTTTTTTGTAGCTGGTATTCTCTAATCTTGAAGGTGGCATTTGTCTATTAAGTTCTCTTTTCAGCAGAATAATTGCTAATTTGTACGAAGGCCTTCTATGTAACAACTATTCGTTGATGAAGGCAAATGGTCAAAAGACATTGAAATCATTAAGCTGAAAGTAATCTTCTTTATGAGTACTATTAAATATTAATTTTGAGTTACATATTTATTGTGGTCTGACTCTGTTTACATCTTCTTTCACAGTTACAATTTGGAGAAGCAAAATGCCAAGTAACTAAAAATAAAGCAAACATTGCTGGCAAAAGCAAAGGCAGAGCCACTTATGAGCCCAAATTTGATAAAAGTAGGTGAAAGGATTATCACCAAACAAAAAA